CAGGGAGTGACACCCGTTAATGGGCTGGGTTGTGGCAAGAGATGCAAATTTTTTCCATCCTAAAAAACGTTCATTCGTTCCTAGTGAAGCCACATCCATCCCAGGCACAACAACTCCTTCCTCCCATCCCCTGTTCAGGGCAAGTTCTTCCCCTGCAGAGCCCATTTCTGTCCCCCTCCAGCCTTTACACAGGTTTTACCTTGTCCTTGCAAAGGTAGGGCATTGTCTCCCAGGCAGAGCTACCACGGGCTTTCTGCGCGGGATGGCATCTGGCCTTGCACCGTACTGATTGAGGTGTGTGGCAACACAAAGGTGCTGGGCAATCCCAAAGACGCTGCATAGTCTTCCCATAACACAATCCTTTGGTGGTGTTCTCTTTTGGGGTGTTTTTTTTTTTTTTAAGAAGTTCCCTGACAACTTGTCTTACTTTACAAATGTGAGCACAGAGCTTGATTGTTTGGGTCTGTTTGTCTGTGATTTGTACATCAATTAGTACCCGTCCAGTTGTCATCAGCAGTGGAAGGAGAAGGGCTGCCCAGGTTAGTCACTTCTAGGAGTGTGAAAGCCTTTATGGAGCTCTTTTCTGTGGCCAAGCCCATGGCTGGACTCCTGGTTGTTAGCACTTTACATGCAAATTCCTGTGCTAAATAGAATAATACACTTACTAGTTGTAGAGCTAGGGACATAGAAGTCAGTAGTATTGTGTGCTGGTGTTTCTTTCTCTGAGTTTAAGGGGAGGAAAATGCTAAGTGTGCTGACCTGTGTCTATCTGGGACAATGATGGCCAAATTCTATGCTGAATTCACGTTCAAAAGCTTTACGGCTGGATCAGATGACTACAGAATTATACTTTTTCTTTTTAGGGTATTCTCCATACTAAGCACTTGGGAGTAATACTGCAGGCATTGTGAAAGCATTGTCTGAGGGAAAACTGCAGTATTTTGAAGCACAAATATGTGCCTGTTACTGTGAGAGAGAATTTCTCGTCTGTGTAAAATAACATGTTAATGTAACCATGAAGATGAGCTGGAAATTGCCGGTTTTGATCAACAGGTTTCTAGTGAGTTGTTGTTAATTACCTGGAGCTGAATGGAAGAGGTTCAAATAGGCAGCTGAATCAAATGATGAAATGATTTTTTTTTTGTAATCCTGAGCATTTGATATTGCTGTATCATATGAAAGTGTCATACATGCGTACAGCTGGACAGAGGAGCAGGGCAATTGCAGTTTGGGGCTGAAAAGAAAAATAAAGTAGTGACTCACCTAATTGTCTTGCTGGGTACCCTCTAAGATATGACAAAATGCCTAGGCTGTTTTCATTTCTTTTTATCTCAGCTTTTTATTCCTTTAGTGTGAACTTTTAATAACTTATTTTATAGTTTAACCTTGCAGGGACCTAGTCTCCTTTTGCTGTCATCTAGTTTGCACGTACTTTTTCCCCTCAGCTTGCCACGCAGCGCTTTTGTAGTGATTACCTAATGCTGCAGTTTCCCTCCTACTTAGGTGGAGGACCTTACCGTTTCTGCAATACTGCTATTCCTATCCCACCCTAGGGCTAAAAACCCCGGAGATGAGAGACAGTGAGCCTGTGTACTGACTCCAAAAGCCTGCTTGCTTGTCCTGAATCAGGCTGTACTGTCACTGAGAGTGACTTTGTTTGGATGTGCTTAATTGCAGCCTGCATTTGACAGGGACACGTACATTTCTGCTGGAATGACTAAAAGCCTCTAGCATTAGTCAGCCTGATCTGTAAATCATTTATCACCAATATTCAGCCTACCTATTCCCCAGCAACAGAAAAGGGAATCCCAAAGAAGGCACAGTGTGACACATGCAGCAGTCTCGGGTGGGCCCCTCTCTTTATTTCTCCCCGTCTCTTCACAGTGTTGCATCCAGCAACGTTTCCTCTCCTGAGGTAGAAAAGGACTGGATGCAGTTCATTTCTGATGGCTGACAATATTTGGCGACATACGCTGTAGAAAGCCAAGTGCTAGAACATGACCGTTGACCCTCTCCCCTCCTCCTTTGCACAGGCCTCTGCAGTGGTCAGTCCCTGCCAAGGCAAAAGCAGCAAATTTCAGAGCCTAACCAAAACACTGCCACTGTCCTGTCAGACTGGCTGCAGACTATGCAAGTGTGAGGAGAAAAGCCCTCTGACAAGTCACACGTGTCAGATGTACCCAAGTGGCGAGTCAGTGAGTTGGAGGCTGCATGGGTGGACTGTGATGGAAGAAAACACCCTTATCCATGGTTTGTCACTCACGCTAACCATTGTCTCTTTTGTTCTCTTATCTTCCCCAGGAACGAGTGGAATATCTCTTTCTCATAATTTTTACAGTGGAAGCATTTTTAAAAGTAATAGCATATGGACTTCTCTTTCACCCCAACGCTTACCTCCGCAATGGCTGGAATTTACTAGATTTTATAATTGTGGTAGTAGGGTGAGTACCAACATTTTCTCTTTAAATGCACTGCACACATGGGGACACTGGCAACCTTTGGGAGCCTGAGGGTGGGTGAATCCTTGGCACATTACGAATGGGTGATGTTAGTGGTTGCTGTCTATCATGTTCCTCCTACAACCACCATTTGTCCCTCCTGCGTTAGCTGCCCTACAGGCCTCCACGTGTTTTACCAAGTTTTACTGTGTAACCTAAAAATACAGGTAACTCACTGGTCTTCTGCAGGTATGACTTGATTCATGCTAATTTCAGTGTGTAGCAATGATTTAACTGGAGGTAAGTATTAAGGGCTGACAATCAGTTGACATACATTTTCTGTGTGGTATCCCTTGCTGCTTAGCCTTTTATGGCTAAGGCTTCTAATGGTTTGCAAGACACAGAAATTAAACTGCTCCTTCGGAACAGGAATAAAAAGAGGAAGCGGTGCAAGGTTGTTGGACAAAGTCAAACGCTTAACTGGAAGAAAAACCTTTTGTTTGTAAATGTGTATGAATATTAAAAAAGAATATCCTTTAAGTGAGATTAGAGTTGGATGACAAATAAATTCTGCCATCTTGTAAACTTTTACTGACTTTTCTCATTCTCAAGGGTGGATACAAAATTTAAATCCCAGGTTTTCATACTTAAAAATAAGTTCTTTAGTTCAATTGCAGTGTTTTGCTGATGATTTCAACACTTTTTATTTTGACCCTTTTAATGATTTAACCTTTTTAAAGACTGATTTTACTATTGTAGATAAAATTGCCATTTTGAGCTACAACCTTTCTAATCCCCTTATCCCTTTCCATGTTTTTCAAGCTTGGCATTTAATTTATTCGAATAAAAGCAAAATAAAACACCTGCTTTTTCTACTGAAGGGTAGGAGATAAGCAAAGGGTTTGAATTGTGGTTGTTGAAGGGAAGAGGTGAAGTATAAACTACCCCTGAAGACAGAGAAGAAGTATTTCTTTGCCTGAGTAATTTGTCCCATCCTCCCACCACTCCATTGTTTAAGAGTTTCATCGCCCACAAAAATTTGCAGTCTTTTTACCTCTTTACCAAGGAAACCCTGCATCAGCTTCTAGGGGAAATGTCAAAAGGGAAACTCTGTCATCAAAACCCCCTCATAATTTCCGTCCCAAACCGAAGTCTATCTAGCTTCTTGACCATTTTTGTGGTGGCCCCAAATAATTATGACAGCAAACTGCTGTGTACTACCCAATCCCTGCCGCTTTCTGTTATCGTGGGGAAAAGTGGGTGGAAGGAGAATTCCCAGTGAGGGGGTGGGAGAGGACAAACTGGAACCTATTCTTAGTTGCAAGACCTCTGTGCCTCCACGTGCGCGTAACGCTTCTTCTTATGGCAGCGCCCAATCATTTTTCTCCTTCACTCCTACCTTCAACCAGAGGATCCCACAGCAAATTAGTAATTGGAAATTGGAAAATCCCCAACCCCTCCCCTGGCATTGATGTCCAATTCCATAGCTGGTTCTGCCTTTGAATGCCCTCAGATATCTGACCTGCTTGGGAATTGCTGCTTAAGTAGAAGAAAGATTGGAGAACAAGAGTCTTGTGAATGTGATTATTCCCTTTTCATTTCTATGAGAAAGAGACTTTTTAAAGAGAGGGACACATTACCTCCTCTTCTTCCATGGGAATGTGAAAGAGCGGGGCTCTGGAAATCACAGGGTAGCATTATATCTAGTTCAAGTACAGTCCTTTTCAATTTTCCTACTAGGGCAGTTAATCAGCAAGATGATATTCAGACTGAAATTAATTCCCTTGCCAATGACAGAAGCTGCAGCTCAGCTCTTCTATCTGTTCTTGCCTCCAGCAGCTCTCAGTCACTAGATGGGGAACAAAAAATGTAACCAGGGAGGGATTACAGGAGTATAATAAACATGGCCAAGACCCCAAGGTTTCTGTTAAATAGTAACAATCTCAAGTGACAGATTCCACTTCAAGGCCAGATGGGTTCCTTTGATGTTTATCTGTTTAAACTCACTCGCAGAGTACCACAGCCTAGGCTGGTGCACTGCTTTTTCTCTCCACAACCCCTTTGCAAAATCTACGTGCTGATACCATCTGTTCCTGTTCTGCCCTGTCGTCTTTTCCTAGGGGCTGTCTGAAACCCCTCAATGACATTATGTTTAAATTTCAGCGTATTTGAATATTTTGCCAGGGAGGAAGTCCCATGGAAAATGTTTAAAATAAATATTAAAGCGAGAGAGAGGAGGAAGAAAGCAAGTGCTGGTAACATTTCCTTGGGATGCCTTTTTCTACCTATTGATGGAGCTATTGGCAAAAGCTGAATAATTTGGACACAGCTGTAGCACTGGGCACAGGGATTTATTTGGCATGTGGGGCAAAGGGTGGTGTGGGACTCATACCGGAAGCATCAAGTCCCAAACCGACTCTGATAATTGCCATTCGTGCTTGTTCTGTCTTAAGAGTCGTCTTCATTTTCAATGATGATTGTCCTTCCTACAAAAAATAGAAAGACTAGGTGGGACAGATTTCTTTAAGTACTGTTGGAAGTTAAAGGAGCAAAAAAAGACAGGTTTTAGATCCTCTGTTTGTCTCTAAATCCACCTAGTATACACTGCTTACCACATATATCTTGAAGAGATAATAAAGCACAACTGGCTTCATTTATGTTTAAGCCATACAAGTCGATAGAGAAAGAGGAAAAGGAATACGTGTAGGACCAAGCATAAATTCTAGAGGCAAGTCTCAGTTTTATTAAAAAAAAAATATATATATATATAGAAATGTGCCTGTATACTTTCCCTTGCCTTCTGAAGATAGGTCCCCTGGTATCCAAAGGGATCTTAGAGTCGGTGGTTCTAACAAGGCCACAGGAATATGCAGCAGCAGCGGAGGGGAGCACTGAACACAACTGCTACGTTTTCTGGATAAAGGATGCACTTTAGACCTGTAGGCTTGTAACAGCTTATCATTCTTGCAGTGTGGGAGATCTGCTTATTTATCAGCTAAGTCTTTTAAAGCTTGATTCTAGCTTATCTTTAAATAGCCTATGACCCTGCTATAGCAGCACCATTAAATGCTGCTTTGAAGAAAAATGTCTGTGTGGGGGTATCAATCAGAGGCTCTGTGGATAAGAACATTATTAGTTAAGAGTAGAGATCACACCCCTAAGCTGCCTAATGAGGCACAACCCACAAACACTAACGATTAGTCAAATTGTATCCTGCTTCCTTCAGTTTTACTGTTCCTCTTTTGGAAAACATTAAAACTTTCAGATATAACGGTGATGTCCTTTAATATTAGGCCTTTGGAGGAAATTTCTCTTGAGAGAAGACTAACTTGACAATGTTGTACTGGAAGAATATCTGTCTTTCCTGGCAGTGCTGTGGTTTGTCTGCCAAGCACAGTCATTCTCCAAGGGCCCATAGGTTCTGCCAGAAAAAAAAAGGTGTCATAATTTTAAAGGGAGTCTTACTTGGGAAGGTAAGCAGTGAAGGTATTTGGAAAGCATACGAAATTCAGAGCAGACTGGAAAATGTGGTGATACTATACGTCTTTCTGAAGACCTGTGGGGAGTTTCTAAAGGGCAGACCCAAACACTTTCACTCTCACAAATTACAGGTGAACTGTAAAACACTGAAAAAATTCATTGTACTTTACTATTTCTTTATACCTATGAGGATTCTTTCAGCTGTGTTTTTCTGCTGATTTTGGGCCTTAGAAATACCAAGCCCTCTTTTTTTCTCTTTATATTCTGGAGGCCCTTGACAAGTTCTTTTTTTATACTATAAAAATCAGTGTGCCCTCCCCACAGAGGAAGAGATGAAGAGCTGTAGAGCGGGTTACAGCCTTATCATGCTGCTGTTGGGGTCATCTAGCACGGCGAAAACCTTTTTGATATTTCAGCTGTCAAAAGGGAAACAGAAAAATACAAGAAAGAAAAACAGTGAGGCTAGATTCATGCCTCATGTAAATGTGGAAAGAAAAAAAGAAAAAAAGAAAAAGAAAAAAAGAAGTGGAATGTGTCCATACATGCACATGTGTGGAAAAAATGTATTTTCTGCCCTGCAGTTCCTGTGTGTCAAATGAATTTAGTTTAGGTGTAGTCAAGTCGCAAGTGAAACTAGGTAACATTTATCCATTTCTTAGGATTGGAAAACAATTAGCTGAAAAACTAGAAAGAGTCTAAAGAGCTCATAGAAACTACAAATTGTATATGGGTTATGGGTTTTTTTCCTAATAGAGGATAACGGGGAGGGGCTGCCAGAAGCCTCACCTTTTTTCTGTGTCTTATTATTGGTGCTATTTCTGAACAGGACATTTTATTATTTTATTTTTTTTCCTTCCCTCTGGGTCATAACAAGTTACGGCTAAAAAAGCATGTGGTAGTTGTAGCCTCTGAGTCATAGATGTCTGCCCGTGCCCTAACTCAGGAGGTGGTAGGGACAGTGAAGTAGGATTGGCAAGATGTACTATAAATTTGAAGAGTGGAGTAGAGATTCAGTAGGCCAGACTGGACACAGTCTAGACTCCAATACAAAAGGGAGGGAGAGAGAAATAAATGAGAGAAATAAAAAGTTGTATTGCATTAGTAAAAAGCAGGATTAGTACAGGGGGAGATATTAAGCATGGAGTAAATGCGTTAAAGCAGGATTAGCAGGAGTAATGCAATTCAAGTTTAAATGTAGGTTTTAAAAAGAGGAGCAGCATGCAAATTATTCCTGAAGTACAGTAGGCAGATGACTGCAGGTACCTTAAGACAGCACGTTTAGCACGTCAACGCCGCAGCACACAAACAGGGCCAACTGGCCTGCAGTGGAGCTGCATTAGTCTGGGCAGGCAGGTTCTAGCTCCAGTGGAGTGAACTGGCTTACTGATGGTGATTTCTGCCCTTCCTGAATTAATGCAGGGCATGTATAGCTTTTCTGAGAATGCAGAATTCTAGAGCAGCCCATGGTTTGCTCATTGCATGAGTGGCAGGAGAAAGGCCCTTGGTGCCAGCTGCCAAAAGCTGCTTTTTGGTAAAACATGGGGCCAGTGAAAATGGGGACCAGAACGGACCCTCAGTTTTGCATGAATGCTGACTCAGAGTTCCTTGAGATTTCTTGTCTTCAGCATTGCAAGAGAGCTGAAAAACAGCATAAGAAACCTTTTGCAGTGAATTCTTTTTCCTCCAGAGGATCCCAGGAGACTGGGACTGTTGTATAGGTATGTCACTCATCATCTAGTATGGGAATTCTGTTGACTAGGAAGATAGAAACGTTTGAATAAGAAATAGAGCACGTTTCTAGAGCTTAATCACTAGCTTACTGAAAATACATTAGCCCAAATTTGACCTAGAGTGTTTCTATTATGAAGACCAGCAGAAAATTGCAACTGTATAATTTGTGTACACAGCTCAAGAAATACACACATTCCAATAATTCATGTTCTTTTCATCAGCCCTTGTTTATCTCTCTGTGATATGTCGTCAACGCAGTATTTCTCATAGGCTCTGTTTTTGTCTTCTCTGCATCCTGCTTCTCAGTCTGCAACACCTACAAACTCAGCATCCAACCTCCCCACACACAGTTTTTCCCACGCTTGTTACCTAGTTGTTAAATCTTTCTGCAGTGCTTGAAGTTGAGGCTTTGAATAGATCCAGTTAGGAGTTCCTCAGTCACAGTTGACAAGTTTTATAAGACTCTTTTTATGATTTCTTAAAAAAAAAAAAAAAACAAAAAAAACAACCTGCTTAAGAAACTAATTTCGCATTTGCACTCCCCTAATCCACATTTTTGTGTGGATTTAGTGCTGGGGAAACGCGCTTCAGTAAATGAATCCTCCTTTTTCTATCCAGGGCAAGCTCCCTATGTTTATGGCCCTATCAGTAAGTTTTAACAGCAGACTGCCGGGATTGGAGCTCCTTGTAAAGCAATCAGGCAGCTCAGTCTCCGCTTGATATGCGGTTTGGGGGCTCTCTGTGGAATATGCCAGTCAGGGTGTATAGATGAGATCCTGACAGAGGCACTGCAGACCGCAAAGTCTGAAAGAGAAATCAGACAGTGCTGAATCCAGGCCACTCCAACTAGGCTGTTTCTGACATCCCAGGCAGCTTCTTTAAAGTTACCTCTGGTGCCTCCATGGCACACTACAGGCCAAGGGGTCTCTGCCACTCAGAGGTGAGCTTTTTCTACTGAGTGCCAAACATCCATTTAGACTGGAACAACTTTTAACCTCTACTGAATTTGGCTGGGTTCAAGCTGATGACTTCAAGGCTGAAAGCATTGTCATTAGCAAATTCATGAGAATCCATCCTCCCCCAAAGGTACTAATGTTTTACCAGAAAAATGGAAGCTGCTTCCTGAAAGCTAATTTATTAAATCAAGTTCTTATTAACACATAGGGTGAGCCTTCAGCTCCTTCACAGAACATTGTCTTTTCTGCCTTGCTCTGCCTTTTCAAATGCATTCTGAGTGAGATGTCTTCTCCTTAAAGCAGCTACTCCTACTAGCCAAGATAAAATATTAAGACTGGTATAATAAAACATTCTAATAATAAGACTCCCACGGTTTTGTGCTTTCCCTAGCCAATGCAGCAGGTGATTTACAAATGGATACACAAGCACATAATCTGAACATACTCCCCTATCTAAAAATTGGCACCTTGAAGGATCCCGGTGTTCTACACCAAGTTCTACCTGCAGTAACCTTGGTGAATCTTAATTCCTTGTAAAATGGGTGACAGATAATTAATGACTGGATTAATTATGGATGATGATTTTTTTCCCCAAGGTGGATTGTTGGTTAATAAAGATAGCAAAGTATTGGCAGCAGAAAGAGCAAAACCTGAAATTTGTGCTTTCTTACCTTTCCGCTTGACTCTCACTGTGCCTGTCCAGACTGTCTGGTAAGGACAACCTGGAGACTGCCTTCAGGGTCTGACTCATGTGCTCTGCTGTTGGTGACCCTTTAAATCCAGCACGAGGCATCGCCAGAATGACCGTTTCGAAGCACCCAGCACGCCCCAGCACACAGGACAGGGAGCGCACCTCCACGTGCCACGAGGAAGGCTGGTCCCTGGGGTAGTCCACAGCTGGCTGCAAGGAGCCATTAGGCTGATGCAGGAGCACGTCATGTTTATGTCTGCTCCAGAAAGAAGTGTTTTGCAAATGGTATAGACATCACCGTTAGGCTATTGCATATGGGAAGAGTCTGTCTCTCCTCCACCATATGGGACTGTCGACTGAGATGTGTGACACTCTTCACAGGTCTGTGAGATAGCTTGGGTGATATGATGATGATGATCTCTGTTCCTGTTTAGCCCAAGCTTTACTGTCTGCCTACAGATTGTTTCCTCTTTCTTTTTGCAGGCTTTTTAGTGCAATTTTAGAACAAGCAACCAAAGCAGATGGGGGGAATTCAATAGGAGGAAAAGGTGCCGGATTCGATGTTAAAGCACTGAGGGCTTTCCGAGTATTACGGCCGTTACGGCTGGTGTCTGGAGTTCCTAGTAAGTAACGTCATTGTTTTTCTTTTATGTATGTCTGTGGTGTGATATGGGGCAGGAGTAATTTGTGTAACTATTTCAAAGATGAAGCGTGATGCAGATTATTTTTGGCATGCAGAGGAGGTCTTTTTTTCATATTAATATAGATTCATGATAAATGTGATATTATCAAAGGATGATCAAAGCTGAAGGTGAATGGAAGTTTCGTGGTACGTCAATCTGACTGTGCAACCTTTGCAAATAATGAAAGTGGGAGATCCAAGATTTTCGTTATTTCAAGCAAAAGACCCTTTAAATAATTGTGAAGTCACAGTGAATTGGTGGTGTTGTAAATACTTAACCTTGATGGAAATGCTGTATTGTCATTTGTGTTGATTTTGGAGGGAGAGGAGCTTTTTCATTAAAATTACATTTTCTTCTTTGCATGTGATGTTCTGACCAAGAGTGCTGGGAACAATTTAGAACCAACAGGACATAGGGCAATGGCACAGTCATGTTCTCTGTTAGTCTTATTTGCTTAAATTATTTGTAATGCCTCTGAGAAAGTCTTCAAGCAGCTTTTGATAGTCTAACATCCATTTTCTTATTTACAATGAAAGTATGAGTAACTGGAAGTTTGGTAATTCTATTGTGGAGGTGGAATACGGACATCACAGCGTGGGAGGATTATATCACTTGGCTTGAGCGTTTGTTATAGATGGAACCTGTTGGCCTTTTGGAGGGAGGGTTAGTTGAAAGCTGTCATTGCTTTCCATGTTTATAGCAATGAGAAATTTAGTTAGCAGGAAAGGAGTTAATCTTCTCCAAAATAGCTGTGGAGAGACCTTTGTTTATTTTTATTTGGGGAGCTTGCAAGTTTGATATCCTAAAGTACTTCTAACCTTAGTCATTCAAGAACCTTGAGTCAAGTTGCCATAAACTCTGTGAGATCAGCTTAAAAATCATGATTTATTTGTTAGGAAAATAGAAGTGTGAGGTTCTTTTTCTTTGGCTTGTTTTCTGACCCACTAGGTTATATTAGAGCCATATTTGCAGGCTTTTCTCCACAACCATAAAGGGTAGAAACCTTTTCAATGAAGGGCGAGAATGTTTGTGGGAGGAGCTGAAGCACTGACCAAAGAAAAAGTACTGAGACAATTGACAGCGCTACTATTTGGTCTCACAAAAAGCCACACTTGGTAACCTATCTGCAAGGCCTCAGCTTGTGCCCAACTTGGGGCTATTTTGGGTATCAGTGGGTCAGTAGAAAATATTGAAAAGCAGATGCTATCTGTTAGGCAGCTAAGGACCTTTCCTCTGATACAGAACTAACATCCATTATTCATGCCACCTCTATTAGGGATTGCTGCAGTGGGTTGATTCAGGCAGGCAATTGTGTACCATGCAATACCTTCAGTCCATTCAGAACACAGCTCTGCTTTTGCCCAGATTTGCCTCCTGAAGCGTATTCTGTCTGTGGTCTTCAGTCTGCATTGGCACCCACTTAATTCCTGGCTATAGACTAAGGTTTTGTTGTTCTTTCCTAGTCCTTCTCTGATCTAAGTCTTTTGGCAGTTTCTAGTTGATTCCAACTGTACGGTAAGGGAAAGGTACTTGACTTTAAACGTCTACAAACTGGAGCATTCTTGGTCAGATGCCGCTTATGCTGGGACGTGTTCTGAGAGTTGTTCTGACATAGGCTGAGATTAATTGTGGTTGTAGTTATTGCTGTTTTGGAGAACAACATATGTTCCTCAAGACTAAGGGCTTTTGTTACTACTGTTCAAGTCTCTTGACTAGTGCTCGTAGAGGACTAGAGGAAGCTGAGAGTGCCAAATCTGACATACCCCTATGCATATATGATCTTGATCACAGTGTAGACTATCTAATAGTCCATTTGTGGGTTTTCTCATCAAGAGAAGCATTTAATTTGCACCAGGACAGAGCCTGGTGCAAGCTAACAAAAATTTGGTCTAGAGAATGAAGTGCCAGTCCAGTGTGAAGAAGGTAAATCATCAACTTGACCTGACCTTGACTGCTATTAGTGTTTATGGTTCTGACTAGGGACATATTTATTGAACCAGGCTTCTTTGGGGCTGGTGTAGCTTTTAGAAAGCCTGCCGAGGTCTGTAGCTAATACAGCCTCAATCTTCACTGTGCATTTTTGAATTGTACAAATGCCTGTTGATTAGCCTAGATAGATGTTATCACATCCATATGTATTAGAGCGTAACTTCTCTCATGAGGCCTTTTAGATAAGATTGCCTAAGCCAACCATAAATAGTACATTACAGGATTACGTTATTACATAATAAGTTAGTGCAGAGGTTTAGAAGTGAAATCTCTGGGTCTCATTCAACTTCTGTCCCTGGGACATTATAAGCACCAGTGGTGAGTTACCAGCATTGCACTTGCTGTATTTTGCCATCCAGTAAAAAATGCTTTTTGCTTCCTTCCCCTTCCAAAATGCAGTAGATTTTTCCACTGTGAGGAGACAACCCACACGAGTTTGTCCTAAAATTACATGAATGTAACATGCATTAGGGTTTCTTCTCACTTCTCACTCTGTAAGTGTATGGAAGCAGCATTTCATTAGTAAGAGGGAATCCTCTGGGTCATTGGCAGCCACCTTCTTCATGGAAAGCCCAACATCTGCTGCTTGGCTTGAGGTCCAGGTCTAACTACCACTATTTGGGGAAAAAAAAAAAAAAGAAGTGTAAAGCACAATGATTCTTATAAACCAAATTTTTGAAGCACATGTTGAATTTTTGCATGCAAGCCTTAAACTCCTCAGGACTGGGGTTGGGAAATAGGTTATCTGAGGTGGAGAGATTGGCTTGCAGCATGGAATCATTTTTTTGGAGTCAAAGGGAGTTTGCTTGGATTTTTTTCTCTCTGGCTCAATCCATAGGAAATAATCCAATTTAAGAGGGACATATTTTGTATTGAGGTTTGAGGATTTAAAGACCCATTTCAGAATATAGAGAGTTAGAAGGAGGGAAAAAAGATATGAATGTTTCAGAATATAGAGAGTTTCCACATAAGTATGGTTAGAAGGAGGGAAAAAAGATATGAATTGCACTCTGAAGTAAATTACTAGTGTCTGCATTTTGCAGATGGAGAGACTGAAGTAAGAGTTCTAGGTTTAACACTTTCAGAAGTGGCTTCTAATTGTATATGTCTTATACTGGCTACCGCTGCTAGACACCTGGGTCAACACAGGTATCTGAAAGCTTCAGATAGATGGATAGAGAACAGTAGCCTCAGAGCTGAGAATCCCTTTCTCCAAGTCCCATGCATGCTTAGTTCCTGGGTCTTACCCGTCTCTTGCCAGAAAAAGCCTCAGCTGTGTAGCGAAGAATTCAGAGACTGTTCAGTGCAGGAAGTGATTCATCTGCAAGCAAAGTTAGTTCACCTATAGGCAGATAAGCAAAGGTACCTTGACAGTCTTTCTTAGGGATGAAACGTCCCAACTCCCACATTACTTTAGTGCATCCTAAAACCAATAGGTTTGAGGTCACGAATTAAAAAAATTCTGAAGACTACTTCTGGATGACTGGATTTGTTCTACAACATGAACAAAATAGATGTTATAACTGAAAAATTGCAACTATTCTCTCTGCACCTTTCTTATATTTCAACTTTTGAATACGGTAATATTACCATTGGAAAAAAAATACATATTTTGTTGGACGTGTTTCATTTTTATGGTGATTTGGCCTTATACGTAACTCAATCTCTCCAGGTTATAGACCTTTAAATGTAAACATTTAAAATGTTTACAGGAGGGATTGAGTAAAAATGTAGCATGCTGGTGGACCAGCACTTTAACTGGTGCAAGGAAAAGCCAGTAATGGTATAACAAATAATGCCAAGTGAAGATCTGGCCCAAAATACAGCATATATTCATCTTAACAGAGGAGTCACTGAGGCAGAGAAATCAATACAAGTCAAATATTCTGTGTTTACTCCATCTTTCCTTAAGAAAAGTATGTATTATATCACAGACACAAGTATATTGTTTCATTAGAGATTCCAGCTAAATGAGTATTTTTTTAAAGACCAGTCTCCATAATTTTAGGCTGGAGAGCCCTGGTTTGTGTTAAGCAAGTATCCTGGTGGCATTAGCATTTACTTTCTTTTCTCACATGGACTGTACAGTCAGTCATGGGCACACAAATATTTCATAATCTCTAAGAGAACAGATGATACTTTTATTCTTTGTGATTATATGGACATTCACAAGACTACTTGTCATGAAGAAGGAGATAGACACTTTGTTTAAAAAATGAGACAGACATTTTTTACCTATGTCACAAAACCAATTGTAGCATCATGGGAGAAGCCTTCAACGACACTGAATTTAATGTTTTGGGGTTCTCATTAGACCTTCAAAAATTGGTGTTAAGTATTTACATATTTCCAAGTAGTGCAATAGGGATAGATTGAGGGTCTTTGTGATTTTTGTGGTTTGTTTGTTTTTTTAAAAAAAAAAAAAAGGAAGAAAAAAAGTAGTTTGAGTTCCTCACTTGAAAACTTTTTTTGGAGTGAGAAGTACAGTTTTTGTTGTGACTGTGTGAGGTTCATGGTAGAGCAGTAGGTTAGATACTTCCCACAGTTCTCATCCCAGTCCTGACAGTTGCTTTGTGAACAAAATAAAATTTAAAAGGGATAATTAAGCAAACTTTTTTTTTATTATTTCTAACCTTTTAAAAGTCATACTGCATCTGGAAAAATGATCCACTCCCAGTGGCATTAACTTGTAAATTAATGCTGAATATTTTCAAATGCACATGGAAGATACAGTGGTAAGTCACTTTTGAAAATTAGACATAAGCACTTTGTATCATTGATACACAGCCTAGACTTCACTATTCAACTGTTCTTTTACTTTCATGCTAACATAAATCTTGTAGTGCATACTTTATTTTGTTGCCGAAATAACTTTATTGCTCTTGTATTAAAGCAGTCTCCTTTTAAAAAAAACAAAACAAAACAAACTTCACATGCACACTAGAGCACCC